CTTGTGGTATTTGCTAATTCTTTTGGTGGCACCGCAGGGTTCAGAACCCCTCCCCCCCTACCAATTTGTGACTGAACGCAACCAAACCTGTCATTTAAACTGGAGCCTCCTATATGTAGCAAGGGCTGAGTTAATTATTCTCACAGTTGATTTCTATACATTTCATCTTTGGCTAGTCTTGTGGGTATGGTGTTTTGTCCAAGCAATATGCAGACATGCATAACTGTGTTTTTTAATTTCATGTACTAGACAACAATACAACAGAATAATAAAGATGTGGCATGTGAAAAAAAAATGTAAAGAAAGGATCTTTTGTTCTTACCGAAATTGCTTTTGGACTGAAAGGATTTAATTGAAAACTGGATTGTATTTGAAGTAGAGAAGTGTCAAGTGACAAGAGAATTCCCTGCATGTCTGATTAACACATACATGTAGGTTAGGGTGTTGAGATTTGGGGGGGGGGTGGGAATCAATGCTGCGTCATAGCTGGATAATTCTTTAATCTCCAGTGGTTAATCAAAAGTGTGGGCTGTCAAATGACCTACTTTGAAAAGAGACAAAAAATTTACCTAGGAGGCTTATATCTGGAAGAGAGTGTTGCATAGTTAAATGGCTCTTTTTGGTTCCATAGGCCTTAACCAAAAACTCAATAGTTTCGTTTTTATCTTGATCTCATAAGTTGTTTATCAGCAGCAAAGGGCTCATCTTTATTAATGGCCTAAGTGTGTGATTTGGCATTGTAACAGTTCCAAGTTGAGGACTTTGAAGTTATGTTGAAAAATTTTTTTTCAGAAGACCTCGAAAGCCTTTCAGGTGAAATATTCATTTAAAGTATTCACACACTGCTCGCAATTTATTTTAAACCTGGCCATGACACTGGTGTGAGGTCTGTGTTGGAAAAAAAAAAAAAGGAAAAAAAAAACACACTTGTCATGTTTCCAGTGTAGTGTTTTGTGAAGTGTAGTTAAATGGCTCTTTTTTGTCATGAAGTCTTAAAGTGATGGTTTTCAAAATGAGTCATCTCTCGAGAGTCCTTACTTGGAAGGTGTAAATTATTTGTAAATGAATTCGTTTTGTGTATCAGAATACAGTGTTGACTTGTACAATACTTGTAACTGTGTTCATGTAGGTTGCAACTCTTAAAGTCCATTTTCATCCTCATGATGAAATACAAACCAGATATGCCAATAGTCTCAAGAAAAAAAGAAATAGTTCTGTTATAATTTTGTATATTTTCTCATGCACATGAAACATTTAACAGTTTTATATTAATTCCAGACAAGCCTTGAATTACAATTCACAAAGCTGTGAGCTAATTAATTATTTATACCTCAGATATGCTGGAGTGATTAAAAAACTTTTAACAGCAATTTTTTCCCCTGGATTCCTGTCGAATACAAACTAATAATCACATTTAAACACTTCTTCAAAACTGGGATATGTTTCTTTGTGAAAATTACCTTAAGAGGATCTTTCAACTAGGCTGGAAAAATTTTGTGCAATAGTGCACGAATGATATGACTCACATCTGTTAATTAAGGCATATGTTTTTGTTTTTCCTACTGTGTCTCGTGATTTGCCGAAATGAATTGACATAGTTCTTGATTCTTTGGCCAAAATTTTGAAATACTCACTGTTCTGTCGTTTTCCTGAGCTTTGAGTAGAAGAAAACAATGTTGATCTGTGTTTGAACCACCTCTGGCATCACTGAAAATTTTTAAACAAATTTCATTTAAATTGGAATCTTTGGTCAAATTTACTACGCATATTGAGAAAATTGTGATCACATTTGCATAAAATTGCATTCAAGCAAGCAGTTGACAACTCACAAAACAAGCTTGTGGATTTGATGATGAATGTTTGGCTTGAAAGACAACAGCATCACCACAGTTGGTGTCTCTTGTAAAGGAGAAGGGCTTTACAATCTTTACTGTCTTGGTTGTACTTCTAATCTCTCTTCTGAAGCCAGCATGTTGCTTCACGACTGGGTGAGTGTTACAATGAAAAAGCTTATTGAAGAATTTCATGTCCTGTCATGGAGTTATGAATTTCAAGCTCAATTGGTTTTCATTTTTATTCTCAAGTAGACCTATTAAGAGAGTATTTTGTCACAAATGATTGATCTTAAAATGGAATTTATGAACACAACTGCTTCTGATTTCAAACTATCATTGCATCCATACAAATGTGCTAATGAATTTTTTTCTAATGCATAAAACTGGGTAATGTTTTCACAGGTATTGCATAAGGTTTTGACCTGTTCGTAGTGAACAAATGTGGTTTGTTGAATTTCATTTGAGTAACATTCAAACACTCTATGAATATTGATATTTTTTGGGTGTTGTTTCAAGCTGTGAAAACCGTGAATACTTATCAGGAGTTCAGATGTTGTGTAAGCCAAGAAAGATGTGTGGAAATATTTGAATTGATTCCTTTTTTAAAATTTGATATGAAGCACAAGGATGCTGTGAAATTACTATAAGTATCTTATGTGAAAATTCAATTGTAATATTTGCGATGTTAAGCAGAATATTTTAGTCAAACTTGTATTTCGTTGTCTGTTCCCTCAAAACATGCCAGCAGTGTGACATTGTTTTGTTTGATTGTATGTCGATTGAGAATAAAATATGTTGAGATCTTTTTTCCTGATATTTATGGTTTAAATATGGGAAACTTATTGAAAGTATTACTAGTAATGTTATATGTTGGTTATAGTTTGAAAGGAATGTTTTTCTGAAGGTGTAGTCTGATCGTCCGGGTGAGTGTAGTCCTGAGAAGGACTGTTGTCGGTGGCAGTGACTGCCACCGACAACAGTCCTTCTCAGGACTACACTCACCCGGACGATCAGACTACACCTTCACATGTTACCCCCGGGTTCAAACCATTTACTGCGAATGTTTTTCTATTAGTGTCTCTGATCTGACCTTGGAATCTTTTAATTCTTTTTTTTGACAAACATATCCGGGCTAAAATTTGCTACATGTAACAAAACTCAGACCTAAACAAGTATTCTTTAAAATGCTTTTAATTGGGTATAAATCTTACATTGCAGTGATGGGGAAATTACTGTTAGTAATGTATAGATGTACGATATCGGTCAGTCTTTGTTTTCAAGCTCGTGTTTGGTTTACTAAAGGAGCTTTGTTATGCTTAGTTAATTGATCTCAATCTTTTCAAGTTCATCATTTAAAATTTCTTTAACCCTTAAACTTTCCAAGATCTAATTGTGAATTCTCCCCTTCTAGCTGCTACTTATTTCCTTGTAAATTAACTACAAGAATTTGGTTTTCGATCAAGATAACAACTTTTACTTGATAAGTTTGAGTATTCTCATTACCTGTTTGCTGGATCATGTATGGATATTATAGGGAGAGGTTACATGTTAATCACTGCTTGGAATTAAAGTGTTAATTATCACCTAAGATCTGACTGTTGATTATCTTCTCTGGCTGCTACACATTTTCATGTTAGTCAGTTATGAGAGTGTGGCATTAGATCATGATGACTTCAAATGATAAGTTTGAGTATTCTCAGTCACTGCCTTTGTGCTGGAAATGTCTGGATATGATAAGGAAAAGTTACACAGGGCTCTCCCATTTTGACAATTAATGGAGAATAACAATTCCCTCATTGATGGATCCTATGCCTTTGAAAGCATTTAGCACAATACATTGTGTATGTGTAGGGCGTGGAGTTGAGAGGAGCATGTGTATGTAGTTTTCACTTTGACAAATAGCTGATAGGCTAATGTACAAATCAGTTGATAAAACATAGATCTCTTGTTATACCCCACCCCCTCTCCCTTCACTGACACAGCACCACAGTTTCTGTGGACACTGTCTTACCACCTTTACTTATTTTTCAGGATGTTGAAAGAGATTATTACCGAACATCTGATACCAGCAGCATAGAGGAGGAGAGAGAGATTTCACGACGGGACCTACAGAGGAGGGCCCTGGAAGCCTTGGAGGCAGCTCGAGTAAGAAGAAATTACAATCTTTGGTGTCGTGAAACTAGGGATGTTGTGTCGAGTAGCTGCATTGCCAAAATGGAAGCAGGGTGCTAGGGGTTTGGGAGGGGCTTCCACTTTGGCTAGTTACTCTCCTCCCCCCTCCCCCACAAGATTGAATACAACCCCCCCCCCATGGTTCACAAATCCCATACACACCAAGAGCCAAGAAAACAACTGCTACAGATCATCAAGGACTTAAAGACAACCAATAAAGAAAAAAACTATTTTTAATAACCTACATGTAGATCCAACCACAACTCAAATACATGTGAGCCCGGGAATCGGCTACTTACTTGGTGTTACTTTGTTTAATTGTCAGAACTGAACTTTACCGTTTTAAACGTATTTTTAAAAAAAAAACGTTATATTCTCAGTCCAAACAGGTTGCATTTGCTGTGAGAACTAACATTCCCTATGATGGAAGTGCCGATGACGATTCGCCAGTTCACGGAGCGGCTGTGTCATTTGAAGCAAAAGACTTTCTTCATGTTAAAGAGGTAGGGGTTGTCATGGAGATCAAGCAGTGCTTGTAACATGTACAGTACAGTGCCGTACTGTTTTCCAGAATGAAATTGTTTCCGTATTGAATGCCTCAGGCGATTCGCCAAACCTTCAAGAATTCTCCAACCACTACGCCAAATTCTGGACAGAATATTTTTATGTAATATTTTTCAATTAAACCTTATCTACAGGCTGTAACTGTAACATTGCGTTTTGGCACTTAACACAGTTTCTCCCACTAAAACAGACACGATAAAAGAATTTTGTGTAAATACATGAAGGTTATGTGAATGGAAATCAAAGTTGTTTGTTGACGTGTTGTTGTATTTGCAGAAATTTAACAATGACTGGTGGATCGGGAGAGTAGTGAAAGAAGGCTGTGATATTGGCTTTATTCCCAGGTAAATAAAGTAACCTCACTAGTACATTTCCTTACAAATGTCAACTAGTATTGAGTGATATAATTACGTGTTTTTGACCACGCCCAGGTCAAGATGGCTAAATATCGGTTCAGTTTTTTTTGTTTTTATGTTAGTGTTTTGTTTTTTTTTTAACCTTTTTGTCACTAAGATTTAGATATTGACTCTCCAAACTGTTTGCAATACATTTCTTATAATTTTAGATCAGAAAATTTAGTTTAAAACAAAGAATACCCCCTCTAGTTGAAATCTTTTTTACCTCTCCTTACCTATCTACTTGGAAATGTACTGATATTGTAAGAAGCTCCTTTTTGGTCACTACTGGGAGTGAAATTGATATTATGGGATGCAGTGGAAGTTTCAAAGAACGCTGAGAATGCACTCTTTATATGAAGTATTCTAATGTGCACCAGCTGTCTTGCAATTTCTGTTTACCTCTGTTGAGTTAAGTTCATGTAAAGAATTTCAGGTTTGAGTTCTAACCCAGTTTGGTCTAAATACTGATGAATGATCTTTCCGCATATTTCCTTTACAGTCCAAGCAAGTTAAATTCCCTCCAGCAGCTGGGCTTGAGTGGTTCGGGGGGAAGTAGAAGTAAAACGAGTCAGAGGTAAACACTGTGTTAGGTTGATTAACACCCATTGTAGCAGGTGGGAAGTATTTTGAGGATTCCCTTCCTCTTTTGATTCAGAGGCAGTACAATGTATCAAGAGAAAGTGTTCTCTTGTTGTCATGTCATGTTTTGTAACTGATGTGTATTTTGGTTTTATCAACTGAGTTGATAAATGTAAACTGGTCACCGTGAAGAGTTTTAAAGCTGCCGTTTCGAGCGTTAGCCCTTTGTCATTCGCTCTGTTGAAGAGCTAACCCTCGAAACGTCAGCTTTGAAACTCTTTACGGTGACCAGTTTACATTTATCAACTCAGTTGATGAAACCAACATTACCTTGATATACTCCCCCAACGACGCAGCACCACAGTTCCTCCAGAAGTTTCCCCCTTTTATTCTGATGTGTGTTCTGTTTGCTTCTTTGTATCTTTGTAGTAGGTCTGGTAGCGTTTTCCAGTTTGAAGGAATGATGAATCAAGCCCAGTCTCCTACAAATACTTCACCGTCAAGACAATCATCCACGTCGGGGCAGAGTAAGTCTGTATTTTCTATGTGTGACGCATTTTGAGTGGGTCTCACTTGCGATCTATTAGAGGACAGACGCGTAGATGACGTCACCATTAGCAATTTTTCTTGCTTCTCAGTAATATAAAACAAATAGATTCCATGTGGCGTGCATGTGTTCAGTATTAGACCATAGAAGACGTCAGAGGGGCATAATCGGCTGCGCCGCTTTTTGCTCTTACCCCATTTTGACGTCATCTGCCATATATTATTGAAAAGACGCACAGCAGTATGGGATCCATTTTTTGATCTTACTGAAAATTTTTGTTTATTTGTTTGTTTGTTTACTTTTGATGACAGTTGATAATGAAAATGGACTAGAATATGACGAGGAACAAAGTCCTTCCAGTCCGACGCCGAAATCATTGCCAAGATCCGCGTCGGGTACAACGGTATCTTCACAGGGAACCCAGAGTGGAAAAACAAAAAAACCTTTCTTTAAAAAGCAACAGGAACAATTCTCTCCTTATGACGTTGTGCCCTCCATGAGACCTATTGTGTTACTTGGGCCTTCTTTGAAAGGCTACGAGGTAAGAGTGACCCCCAGATCAAGGGAGAAGTATGAGCTGAGTTAAACTGAGTGAGGGGAAGGCTTGCTAGGAAAATGAATGATTCGATACCTTAATAGCAGCATAGGCTGAATTGCTAAGGTCTACAGTGTTGCTAAGGTCTACAGTGTTACTAAGGTCTACAGTGTTGCTAAGGTCTACAGTGTTACTAAGGTCTACAGTGTTGCTAAGGTCTACAGTGTTNGATATTGTAGCGAGTGTAGCGGATCTCAAGTTTGAAATTGAGATGCAGCTTTACAACCAAGTTGGAGTTCAGCCTCTTCCGTTCCCAGGGATGGACAGTACCGTTCAAACGAGTTTTGATTGCGACAAATATCGTGATCGCTTTTTGCACGTTAATGTTTTTAAAACTAGTTACATTCCAAATCTCAGGCGATGCATTTGAACCTAGCAGACCTGTTTAAATGTCAAACTCTTAATTGATTAAGACGCTATTACGTAAACTTCTACAATATTTAGACAAAAGTTATTTTGTTATCACATTTGAGATAAGAGTGCATGCAAACCACAAAGCTATGAACTAATTATTGTGGCTGCTCGCAGTTTTTCAGTCTCGTATTGTATGTTCCAAAAGTTTTGTGATTTAAATGACAATGTTTATTTTCTGTTGTGTGTTCTTCTCTTGGTTATCTCTTGTTCTACAGAGTCTGGTGCTGCAGTTTGTGAATTTTTCATGAGGAACATGTGTAATCGAGGGGCAGTGTGTCCTTTTAGACATACCAAAGGTGAAAAGACAGTTGTCTGCAAGCATTGGCTGAGAGGGCTTTGTAAAAAGGGTGATCAGTGCGAGTTTCTTCATGAATATGACATGACAAAAATGCCTGAATGTTACTTTTATTCCAAGTTTGGTAAGTGCATGCCAGTCATATTTTTTTGCAATTGTTACATTTAACTTAGATGCAGTGCACTGATTTAATTTTATTCAGAGTTAAGTTACATTGGATCATGGCGCCTTTATTTAGCTTTGCCAACCGGCAGGGACACCGCAACAGCTTGCACCGATTACTGTGGGCCCAATAAACACACACATCCCACCCCAGGGGAAGACATCCATCACACAGTAATCTCGTGTGTGGGAAATTAATCAAACTGAGCGATTTTTAATTGAGCGTCGAAAGTTATCTGGGATTTGATTGCTCTTGCATTACATAAAGTTTTTGTTTGTTTTATTGCAGGTCACAGACATGATGCAGAAAGCTTTATATGATTACATGAAACACAAGTTCTCGGGAAGGTAGTGTTCTTTCACCTAGTACATAGCTCGGATCTCGTTGTTATTTTGTTTCAAACTTGAGACCCATTTTATTGGCGTTATGACCGTCTCCGTTTAACAACAACACCTCAAGGTTTAAGTTGATTTGACGCAAGGTACTTTAGTCAAGTCGGTGATCTAGTAACTTGAAATGTAATTTTGTAGTTAGAGTAATAAAAGTGATAATGATTTTCATGATATTGAATCACTACTTAGAAATTCTTCGTAGTAGACCAAAGCAGGCCTTTTGATGTACTTTTCCTCTTGACTTTTCAGAATAACAATATCACGTGTCAATGCTGATATAACCTTGGCTAAAAGGTCGACTCTATCAAACCCGAGCAAGAGTAAGCTTATGGAAAGACCAAACAGTAAAGCTTCGGGACTTGGTATGGCGTTCTCGTTTTCTGCTCTCTAACTGTCTTTCGTTTGTAATTTGAATCCTTCCCACACCCGCGACTGATTTTAAACAATTCCGTTTGGGTGTAAACCCTCCCTCCCGCTCTCTAGTGGTGGATCTAGTGGGAGGATCCAGGGGAACTGGATCCCTTCCCCAAAAGACCTGCTGCGCAGCTTGCAACGTCAGGAACCTAGAATGGGCCTTGTTGGTGCCACTGTGGTCTGAACTTTCTTTTTCCGAAGTAAAGCTATTTTAGGGCTCAGATTACCTTAATTTACTCAATTTACTACTTTTTTGTTCTTGTTTATTCTTTCAGCTGAAGTACAGGTTGAGATTGAAAAGATATTCGAATTGGCTCGAGGGCTTAACTTGGTTGTGTTAGACTGTGAAACTATTAATCATCCAACTCAGCTCTTCAAGACGTCGTTAGCTCCTCTGCTTGTCTACATCAAAATTAACTCCCTCAAGGTAAGAATAGTTTTACTCTCTGGTTAAAAATGATATATTTTTTTTTATTATGAGAGAGGCTAGGGAGCTTTGGTAGAAACCAAAACAAGGGTAATCGTAACAGCCAATCAGAGCAGAGTTAAACATCACAAGGAATCAATGAGAATTCAAAGTAGACTCGTGGACAATGTACTGCGCGAGAAAATGGAGTTACCAGATTACGATTGGTGTTAGGTTTGCATCTGATTGATGAATAAATTGGCGCGAAATTGATTGACCAATCATAGAGCGTTGAGAACTAAGACAACTGATGGTAATTCTGATTGATAATGATGCGAAAACGTCCTTGAATTATTTGCTTGCTAACAATATCTATGCCTGCTAATTTTATGACTACTAACCATTTCCAAGAATTTTTGTCTAAACTTGTCAGTGTTTTCCTTTTCATGAGGTAACCGTTAAAATTTACCGCGTATAATACCTCTTTACTGCATAGAATCGCTTGGAACTCTGTAAAGGAATGCTGTACCAGTTTGAAAGTATCGTTTTACTTCTCACGTTTAAAATGAGAAAGAACACTGCTTGTTGACGCTTATAATTGCACTGCTTTTTTTCAACAGGTCTTACAAAGGCTTATAAAAACACGAGGCAAATCTCAGTCTCGGAATCTCAACGTACAGCTTGTGGCAGCTGAAAAATTAGCACAGTGTGGTGATGTGAGTATACTGTGTTTTTTCCTTCTTTTATCAGGTGTCCAGAACTATTTGCTGCGATTTTTTCTGAGCTACTTCAGTTTTTGTAGTTTAGGAAATAAACGCGCTAGTATGGATTGTCCCATTTTTGTGTAAAACTTCGCAGAACGATAAATGTCGATTTGCGGACAGTGATTTAGTGTTAAAATAGCGGCTACTGAACTCGTTTTCCGTCATTGGGAGATAAAGGTAAAATGAAGGGTGTCTTTAAGAGGCTGTAGTGTTGTTATGGTAACGTTATAAGTCAGAAAAATTATATAAAATGTTGGGAAACAAGGGAAAATGTTGTGATACCATCTTCAAGAGAAAAGTTAAGAGGGTGGAGAAGTTTTATTCTAACAAATAAAGAGCGTTTGAAAATATTGAAACCGTTCTGAGTCAACTCAGAGATAATCAGTTAAAACTGGCCTACACATTTTTTTTTTTCGTGAAGGATTCTTATGACCTTGTTCTGGATGAAGCACAGCTTGACGATGCTTGTGATCACTTGGGCGAGTTCCTTGAGAGTTACTGGCGGGCAACACATCCACCGAATCAACCAGGCAGCAGGCTGCCGAATGTCCAGGCGTCCCCATCAAGTCAACAGTATAACACAGTGGACTCTAACGAAAGACCGAGTGTCTACCTGTGACATCTCCCATGGTGCCTTTCGGTGAAACTCTATTTTGCCCAAGCACGATGGGACAGAATTTACTACCCACGTTGCATGTCGTGCAAATGAGCCTCTGTTTATTCATGGCCGTTGGGGAAAATAAACTCTTAGTCCATTGAAAATACCGACATTTCACAATACGGACCAAAGCAAAACTCATGGCGAAAACATTGTTCAAGTGTACAGTGAATGAGTTGTACCTGGTTCATTCACAATAATTGGGTCAAGAAACTCTTGATGAGACTTACATGTACAATGAATTACGTTGAGGTGATGAGGCAAATGTCGTTATATTCACGCTGTTTTGCTTTGAGAAGGATGGATGGAGGGAGCCTGGAAACGAAATACATCGTTACATTGCAAGTTCCAAGTATTTTAAGTCATTTATTGATAGTTAGTGAACAAAGCAGCCGTGGAATACTTAAGAAAGAAAAAAGTCTCTACAAATTGCTGCCGAAAAGTGCCGCCAGTGATGCGACAAAGTAAGTTGTAGCTTTTCAAGGGTGAAATAGCCGGTGAAAGTAGCTGTGCCGATTTGCTTGAAGTTGTTGTGCTTCGTTTTCAACCTGTACAGGTTGGACTGGAGTCATACGCTTTTGTCTACAAAACGCCACCACCCACCCCTCCCGTAGAATTTTCTTTATCGTCAAGCTAATTTGGAGACCTCCTTCCCAGGGCTCTCGTTGTCTTCCTTCCCAAAGGTTAGGAAGAAGAGAGAGGCCTTCGGAATAAGGTTGAGATGTCAGACAGTTACTTCTTATTCGTCTTTTTTGGAGGTAAAATTCCGCTTTTAAAGTGACTGCTTCTTGTAAGCTGGCTTTTGCTGCATCAATGTTTTATTCAGCGATAGGAGGAAGATGGTTTTGTTGTCGGCTGATAAAAGATGCTATTTGCGATGTACCGTGAAAGAGTTAATGCTCTTTGTCGAGAAAGTGGTGTTAACTTTTCGAAGCATTAAGGCTTTGGCCGATTTCACACCTCAACGAAATCCTTTTAAATACACTGGCCTAGATAGAAGAAAGCTTAACATTTTGTAAAGTATATTGCAATATTTGCGTCGAAATTGCGACTTTTCTCCTCCCTTTATTAGGAAAGTGTTCCTCGATGTAGTTTAGCAGTAGTTGGGAAGAAATATCAATTATTTAGTGAAAAAGAAACATATCTGGCTAAGAGCCATGTTATCAGTACAGTATAAGCTATTTTATATTGTTTTAAGAAACCAATGTGGTACCCAACCTACTTAACAATGAAATTTGCACTTATTTGTTTTTTTGTAACATAGCATTTTTCTTGCGAAGATATCATCGCAATTTTTTTATAACTAGCGGAAATTTAGTGAATAGTAAGAAATTGATAAAGAGCTCAAGGCAGAAAGACTGGTCCGAAGTAAGTTGCTTTTCTTCTGTGTTGTGTATGCCTCGTCTCGTGGAGAATTTATAAATTGGCCGCCAAATCCCCTTTCAGTTTAAGCAAACGTTGATTCAATATTTTTTATCAAATTGTGATTTCATACCTCCATTGCTAACATGTTTTGCTGCTAATTCAATTGCTTCAGGTAGTATCAGGGGTGAATATAGTAAGCAATCAGGAAACCGTATTTTGCACATGTGATCAAAACGGACCAATCCCGATGTCTTGTTTTCGCGTCCTCAGAAGAACTTATTTTGATTTGTTCTCTTTGATCACGCGTGCCAAGTAAGGCTCTTTGATTGGCTCTTTGTGTACTCATCATGCTTCGGTTATTATAAATGGTGCATTGCTGAAATGTCACCACCGTAAGTTAATAATTCAGAGTTTCAAATTACGAACCTTCAAATTTTTTTTTTTTTTTATTAAGGCAAATTGCTTCGTGCGGGTGTTCATTGCATAGCGGCTTTGGTTAGAAATAATGCTAGAAGATAAACTTATTTTTAAAAGAATTGCTTAATGTAGGGAAAGCATGACATATTGTACAGGTATTTGAGTGCAGACACGTAATGAAAGCTGGGCTTTTTTAATTTGAATGTCGAGGCGTGCGTGAAAGTATTCTTCTGGTTGTAAATTGTCTATCGCTGCCGCTCTGTATATTTAGATCAGTAGTAATTCTTGGCCACTGGTAGTTTTTTATAATCATGGGAGCAAGCTCTCTTTTAGTTGAAGTTTCCCCAGTTTTGAACGTATCTTGTAAACGCTAATACATGATTTCAGGTTTTCTGTGATAGATTGTGATAGACAGAAGGAAATCAAGATAGTCGGAATTGGGATTACGATTTTCCCTTGCGTTATAAGAGAAAGGCATTATTTGAATGATAATTCTTAGCGAAGTAAGACGATGTAGACATTTTACCTCTCACATAGTATCGCGGAGGCGAAACAGAGAGCCGCGGCACTTATTTGAGAAAGAACTGTTCAATTTGCCGTTATTCTTTCCAAGTTTATGAGATTTGTTAGTACGCAAGCCTTATGTTGCCAATAAGCTTTTCTGTTGCATTTGTGATGTATTATTGGTATCTTTTGGATCTTCCTAAAGATGTTAAATCTCTTAACTGTATCAATTTCAAAGTTTTGGAGCGGCCTAGTTATAACTTAAGCTAAGGTAAACAAACAAAAAGGTATTGATATCGAATAAGAATATAAGTATGGGCCTCGCTGCGCGGCGCGAGCTCCGCTTTTACTACGAGGTGTGAATATTTTCCCGTCGTCTAACTTATTAGTGTCATGTGTTTCAATACCAATTCATGGTTCGTTTGTTTCGACCATTGAAAGAATCTTCGATATGAGATTTCGCTCTTTTTTAACAGGTTTTCTTTAGCACTTTTTTTTTTCAAATTTTATTCTAGTTGTTTTTGTTATCTTTTGGTCTTCGTCAGTGGTTTAGGCGACGATTTATCGCGTTTTGATTAATAGCAGTGAATACATTACCGCTTATAATAATACATAAGGTAAATTTTGTTCTTTGGTTTTTCCTCATCGGTTTATGTTGTAAGTCTTCATATGAACCCTTTAACTCTGATGATCTGATTTTTCCCCTCAGTACTTGCAGCTGTACATGTTGTCGTATATCAGTTGAGAGAATTTGATGTTGGATCAATACACTACTTGATACATCCGTCCAGACTCACCGTTTGATATCTGAAAAATTTGTTGAAAATTTGGAATGAAGTGATACGTTTTAAAATCACCTCTCGGAGTTAAGGGTCAAAAAAATTTTAGATCTATAATTTCGGTTCTTAGACGCTAGCTTTTACTCCTAACGTTAACCAGGATTATTAAGAGTGGATATCTCTTATCAATTTGGAATATTTAAATACAGCACATTTCCTTCGAAAGCTGGTCACTAAAGTGTCCAATTTTGTTTTCGTTAGAGTTAGGATTGATAACTAGATTATTTTACTGATTATTTTATATTATTGCTCTGCCTTATTATGAAGCAATTTGGTTCTCTGTGGCAAAGTGCAATGCCCAACAGTGATTTGTAAATAAATTTTCAACTCTACTTCTATTGGTGTCTTTTTCTCTTGCGGCTTTATAGGATGACTCTAATAGTAGTAACCAGTAACCAGGCAAGCAAGGTCTTCCTGCACTTTATACTGTCGCCGACATCCCCTTGTGGCCAAGAAAATTCCCTCTGAATATTGAGACGATAGAGTGGTCACTGAGCTTGAGAATGTCGTCACAATCGCGTTACCCCTCCCTCCCCTACCAGCTTTGTTCTCCACCTTAAAGTCCCTATTCACCCCCAGAGGTTTATATGTATTTAGATTCTTTGCGTTATCAGGATTAATCTCAAAAAAAAAAAATTTGCGATTGATTAAATATTTCCCGAGATATGCCGCCTCAAAGTTACTCTTTTGGCCAGGCCCTTTTAACTTGGCGGGAGAAAATTACTGGGCCGAGTCTCGGACTTACTGCCTCTTAGTGACGTCACAGTAAGAGCGAATGTTAACCTCTTGTACAAGAACATGTGTCTTTTGCTGTAAAATGATGTGAAAATGCAGACTCGTTGCGTGGTCGCTGGTTGCTCAAATACACCAGATTCGTCTAAAGACATATTCCTCCATAAAATACCGTAAATGTAGGCACATCGATCGAAAGACGTTCTGACTGTGACGTCATGAGGGACTTTTAGTTACCAGTATTAACTTCGCCCGGCCAAATCAAAAGGGCGTGGCCAAAGGACGAACTTTGAGGCGGTATATCTTGGGCAATATTTAATCAATCAAAAAAAATTTTTTTTGGAGATTAATCCCGGTAACACAAAGAAATTCTTTGTAAGTACAAGTTAATCAAGTAATTTTCTATTAAATTCACAAAAAAGGTGTAGGTACCAAGACTTTTGGCGGGAAAATTTGAACCAATTTGCACAGAGTTTTCCCCTAGCAACTTTTTGTCAAAAATATTGACAAGGCTTTCTACGAAAAAAAGAAATTAGTTAAACATCATCTCGTGCAAAGAATTGAAGAGTAATCACCAATTTCTCCTTCACTCTTAAAAAAAAAAAAATTGTCTCGTTTCTTTCACAAGAAATTCTGACCTAAACATTTCCATCTCCCAGCCAGTTTTGTTTTAAATTTCAATTCTTTGCACGAGATAACGTGTGGAAGTTCTCAATAAAATAGTACCATGGCAAGCTATACGTCCGATTAAAATTTTCTACAAATTTATGAATTAAAAGTCTGTTTGTAGATCCAGTCACTTATTTGCTTGCCATGATGTTTCTGTTCAAAGCAGTCGGTTTTCGAAAGTAACACAGATTGAAAAAAGCACCAAAAAATTTATCAAAGAACTAAAAACAATTGTTGGAGCATACTCTGAATTTGACTGTAGCCAAAGAGCTAAGACATTTCACAATTAAGCACCAAATTCCCCTATACTAACTTCGCGGAAAATTTTAAGAACTGAGACAGTATCAATTGAAGAAACTCTAGTTGATTTAGGCCGCAGATACTTCAAAACTAGGCTCCAACTTTCTTTGATCAAATTCCAAAGCAAATGTAAATTAAAAAGTTGGAGCGAACTCTATGAAATTGATTTTAGACTAGGAAATTTCACACTTAGGCTCAAGGTTCTTAAACCAAACTCGAGAAGTAATTTGGGAGATGAAATAGTATCAATTGTTGGAGCAGAATCTTCCGAGTTCTATTTTAGCCAAAAAGTAATTACGGCGAATTGCCACGAGAATTGGTTGTTAAACGCGTTCGATTTCTGTGTTATTGTAACACAAACTAGATTTGAATATTCAAATTTCATAGTTTTGTTTATCACTTTTTTTTTCTCATTTTTCGTCAAGTTTAGAATTAAATCTAAAATCAGCTTTGGGAATAAAAAAAACTTCATCAAACCCGCTATGCCACTTCCTTACAGTGCTGTTTCCTTGAAATAATAGGGACCTTAAGCAAACCACGACGGCAACGGCAACAAAACATCTAATTGGCAGAACAATAGCTCAGCACGTGCGTTTTAAAACTTTATACATTTCTTAGCCGTACTTTACAAAACAACAGCGTAAAATCACGAAAATTTGCGTCGTGTGCGGACGGCAAATTATTTGAATTTCCATTCGGAACTCGACGCTATTTTTATACGTTATGTTGAAGTTGAGGAGCGGCGCCGCATGAGACGGTAAACACGTGCAGCCATTTTTAAAATCAGTCTAATTAAAAGTAGAAATTCATTTTTCAATCGACGTCTTCCTCGGCGTTGCCGTGGTGACTGCTTAAGGTCCCTAATGATGTAAAGAAACCGCACTTGAAAGCTACCTGGGCTTTTTCCGACAACCTTTCTGCAAACAGCTGTATGAAAATCTGTATTTCTTCGTCGTAAACAGAAGTCAATTCAAACTGGTTTATATTAAGGTAAATTTCATCTTAATCAGTTTCTCGAAAGAGCTCATAAGCAGGCATTTGAGTTTTAAAACATATCTATAACTCCCTATCAAAATCTAGCTCAGTTGATAGCACACAGTAATAAACTAAGATGGCACTGTACAAAATTCTTGCTGCTTGTATGGAAACAAATACTTAATATTTTTTCAATAAAACTTCCCAAATTTCCAGTTTAATAAAGTTCATGCCGAGAACAAATTTTCAATTAAATAAATATATCGTTGCCAATCTTTTTCTTGACTTCATTTAATTGCCAATCGTGAGGAATTGGCTTGGGCAAAAGTCAGAGTAGAGTAAACAATTGTTACCAAGTCGAACGTCTATAACTTTAGTTTTTAAAACCGATCGGTCAGTTTTGCAGTAAAATGGCTGCTGGCTGTCAGTTGTCCGTTGATTAGTCAGTTTTGATCAGTCGGTAAGGTTAGTTTGTTCTGTTTGGTCCGTTAGAGACTGTGTATTAGTTTATCTAAGTCAATTTTAAGATGCAGCTAGTTTATATCATCTGTTGTGAGTCTTCTCCAAGTTAGTAAACTAGCTTGTCAAGGTCAGGCTTTGGAGATAGTGCAAGTCGATGGCGTTCCGGCAGCAAGATGATTTTTGACGTAAAGAAAACACGAGTAATCAAGGTTAGTTTGTTCTGTTTAGTCCGTTGGTGACTGCGTTAGTTTTTTTGCTTTGTTTTGTTTTGTTTTTTGTTTGTTGTTTTTTAAGTCGCAGGTAGTTTTTGCTCGTTAAAGTCAGTCTTCGAAGATAGTGTAGGTCGATGGCGTTTAGCAATGTAATTTTTGATGTAAAGAAAACACGATCAATCAATGAAACTCATCAAAATTACAGTTTTGAATTCCATTTGGTCTTTGACTGGCCGAAGTAATTTTTTAAGAGTGCCACCTTAACATCACCTTTGTGTGACATCAACTAAGATACAACTCTGATACTAACTGTTAAACAAACCAAACAAAATGAGCAATCAGAGCTTTGAAATTATTAATTTAAGTGTCAGCATTTCGTAGCCAGGATTATATCAGTTTCCAGTTGTTTTCTGTCTTGAATTCGATGCAACGAGATTATCTTAAATACAATGAATATATGAAGTTCATATATTATCTTCGAGATTATCTTAGCTAAGTCACACCAAATGGATTATGAAATTATTACTTTTGGTTTAAATGAATCAAGTGATCGCTCAGGGTCTGCATAACAATCCGTATCACAACAGCCTACTTCAAAACTGGTGGCTAGTTAAGAGTTAATTGTTCACTTACTTTATGATCATTTTTATCCTTTCCAAGGCATTTGGTGAAAAAACAAAGACTTCGACAAACAATAAGACGTATTAGGGGCCACCATTTTTGCTAGTATTGCTAAATAATTTTAAAGCTCTTATCTTTGCAGTATCCACTTAAAGTTCAATGATTCCAGTGTCTTCACTTGACCAGAACTTTGTTCTCTTAACCTTTTGTCAACGTTGCTCTTCCTGATAGGGAAAATATGAATGTTGTCAGGGAAGGCTTGCTTTCCACGAGGACAAAATCTATATATTAAAATTCTGCAAAATTATTTTGCTCTTTGACACAATTATGGTTGGAAGGAAAGCATAAAAAACTTATTAGAATGTTACTGAGTGAACGAGTCACCGCACCTCCACGTCGCTGCATGCAAATACAATTTTAAGTCTTCGATACATTTAGTCAGCGAAACATTTTTATTTGAGCGTTTCCCTTAAAACATTTTACAGACATAAATTCTGCTTTTCTCGAAGCCAACACCCTAATTGAGCGGTCCAATTTTGAGTTAACTTGAGACCCGCTCAGACCAAGTAACCGGTTCGTGCTACTTCGTTGCACTGAGATCATACGACTTGTTTAGATCTCGAAAGGAACTTAAGGCGATATTATCCTGAAGGAATATTCACCTGCTCTTGAAGTGAAATAAGAGTGCTTTCGTTGCACTTCTTTACAAGTCCGGTGTCTTCTTCCTTCCAAAGCGCATCATCATGTTCAGCAAAATGGACGACACGTCTTCACTCTACGACGAACAGCGTGGTTTGTTGAAAATTCTGCAACTTTTGATAAATATGGATTAACAACTGCAGCCAATAATCGGCTGCCACGTCACATATTTAGCGCGGGGTTCTGTTTGCACGCTTAGCTAGTTCATCAAGAATCAAGCTAAATTAAGGCATTGTGTGTGACGGATTAGCATCTGTCAAGAGGAAAAAAATTCACGGCAGCTGAATTTTAGGAAGTAGCATGCGACCAGAAAACTACTCTGACAGCCGAGAAGAGCTAATTTGAAAGGCTGATAGCATTAAAAGCAGAAGAACTCCGTTATGAATATCAAAATATTTAAGGACCCATTTTGAAATTGCGTGAATGAATTAATAATTGTTCGTTATTCTCTTACGATGAGCGCGTAACAAAAAGAACGCAAAGATGACGACGCACTGTAATTTACCGTTGAAGGAAAAACATGAAGAAATTAACGCGTTGTTACTATCTCATGATCATGAAGGAAAAACGATATTAAAAGTACGCAAAATGAATGAATAGCACTGCCATTTTATCGCACAAGGAGAAAGCAACATGGGCACGAAGATACTTTTTATACACCAAGCGATCAGCTTCACGGTGCATCGAGCTGTAGTGGAACAGTCCTAAGAATTAAGACTGGTGATGGGTAAAAAAAAGTAATAAAATATATTTGAAAGATGGTTGAAGATGTTTAATCGTCTTGTTTCAGGCATGGGAAAAAGACAAAAAAAAATTGAGTTTCCATGAGGAATTGAATACCAAACCACCAGGTTACACGCTTTAATGCTTTACCACTGAGCCCCAGAGACTCCAAGATATTACGCCATTTCAAAGTCCATATAGGACACGCGTCCTGTATACAGCCATGATAACAAAAGTCGAAAGCGTCATATGCATCCTATTTCTCCACCGAAATTTAATATCTTTCTTTTTGAAATGTTGTTCGAAATTCTTAGTAAACCCCAGAAAGAGCGACGTACCACCTTAACCAGTGGTCAGTATGAGAAAAATCTATTTTCTCAGTTGCCTTATCTAAGATGGTTAAATGTAGTACATTCGCCTGTGGAACTGAGCCATTTTTCGCGTTATCTTGGCAAGCGGGGCAAGACGAGATTGAAAAAAGCAAGAGGGGGGAGACTTGTGCAAGTGGAGGAACGCGGTATAAAAAAAAAAAAATAAATAAATAAATAAACAAACCACTGCTGGTGTCTTGCCCTGAACAGCATATTCAGATCTTTTATTTAACCAATAAAAGAAGCCTCGACCGTACTCTGTTTTGATTCACGGCACGCTTGAGGCGGCTAGTGCACGATGGCCGGAAGATTGGCATGAGATGCCTCAATGGGACATGCGCATCGGATCACAATTTAACCCTTTAACTCCCAGAAGTGATTAACCTGTAACTTCTCCCTATAATATCCATGCATTATCCAGAAAACAGGTAATGAGAATACTCAAACTTATCAGGTAGAAGTTGTTATCCTAATCTAACACCAAATTCTCATAACTACTCAACAAGGAAATGTGTAGTAGCTAGAGGGGAGAATTGAAAATCGGATCTTAGGAGTTGAAGGGTTTATCGCAATCGCTCTGACTCCATGATTTATGTAAATTCTTGACTGAGATGCCAGTTTGAATATTACTTCCATCATTCTTGATTTGTTATGTGTTTTAAACACGAAACTATACCATACGCGTGTTTGCTTTGTTTGATTTTTTATTACCGTATTCAAGCTTATGACAATCTTACAGTGTGAAAAGCTTAAAAAACTCGGACAGTTCATTTTCGAGTTGAAGGACAAAGAGGTTATAAATTCAGTCAAGCTCTTTAATGTCAGTCCTCAAAAGAGGACACAAATTCTGGACACTCAGGAGTATAGGTTGAACAATTACTCAAGAGCAATGGTTACTCCTCGCGTAACTTTTCCATGGAGGGATGTTTCAAAAATAAATTCCAGTCTGACACTTCTTGGTTCGAAAAGAAGCGAAGGACATCAGTTCATCGAATAAAAAGCGATTTTTCTGCATCTTATTTCAGTTAACCTTCTCCAATTTCACCTTTGAATCTTTAGTCGTCATGCCTAGGACCTCAGTCGTTTCCGATATATTTTTGGCATATTTCATACTAAAAGTAGTCTCTTCAAAATGCGTCACATAGGTAGCTATACCGAGGAAAATCATGTTAAGTATTTCACCACAAAGAACATTATTATACAGGTGACTATCATTCCACCAAAAACAATCCATTTGTCCTGCAGAGAGAGAAAGAGAGAGAGTGAGTGAGAGAAAGA